CATGGGATGATGTGAAACAGTATGTGCGAAAGTTAAAAGGCAGAAGCTGCGCCAATGACTTTCAACTTTCTACGTCAGTATAGAGCTTCACCGCATTCAACTACCAAACAATTTCTCCATCAGGAGCTTTGAATAGTAGGATACAAAGGGAGAATTATGCATTAATAATAGACATGCCCACTGTTTAGTAGATTTCATGAGATCACAAGAATTGTGTTATTCTTTAAAAAAATGAAAAAGATGTATAAATTAATAAAACAAATATCAGACAATTAGTTAATTCCGCGTAGATTTAAGAAAGATTAAAACATAAACCTAGTTATCGCCCGGACAACGTAACTTAATTTCCATAATGTGTTACTTGATTTGGAAAAAAATAGTCCCAAGAAGATGGTATTTGGGTAGAAGAACGTAGATCCCTTTACTCACTGAAGTATTGTGCATTTTCATTCGTTTCATTTAAATTGTTTTCAGTTTTGAGCGTTCATGAATATTGATTTTCGCAATATCGACAAATACAACTTTTATTCGTTAAAAACATGCATTTGCTAGTTTTCTCATATATCTAAATGTCTTTAGAGACAAGGTGTGTAGTGTTCTACTGCTGTATTTTCGTGACTTTTGTCATATTCTTGTCTTGTAATTAAAGCGGGCATTTTCAGTAACGCCTAACAACCACAAGTTCATTCACCATTCTGGTTAGATACCTGACCTATTCCTCATGACCTATGTCTCATAATGATTCTTCAACTTTTCTCCACAAGACTTTCTCACCCAAATTTTCCTGCATTTTGGCGCCAACAGACAACATTTGAGTACATTTTCTATTTTTGCCCATAATATTTGGCTATTTTTCTCCCAATCTTCTGAAGGAGAGTGAATACTATAAATAGAACTAATTTATGACAAAAATAATGAACTGGTTAAATAGCATTACATCATCATAACGACAAATGGCCTACAAGTATAGTGTTGCTGTTGATTTCAAATTCACTCGTAACCTCGAGCAACGCAATTAAACATATAATGTCACAATTCCCATAATCCTTGCGGTATACATGTGAATACAATGAATAAAAATATCTCTTAGCACTGTAAACCTGGGTATGTGTTTCATTATGTTGCCACCGTGTATTTATAAGAATTAGGATTTGGAACACTATATTAATCAGTATGTCTTGATCTGATCTGATCCTC